AGGATGTGGTGGGTCAGAAGCTGTTGCAGCCCTTCCGGGTCCGCAAGCTGTGAACCCACTGCATGCGGACTCTCCCGCCCTGGGCCTGGCTCTGAGTTTCCCCAAACTGAGGGCTCAGGAGGAGAGAAGGCTCTTGAGGGGCAGGTGCCTGATCCCTCCCGGGCACTGCAAGGATCATATCCTTTGTTGGTCTGGCCTTTGGATTCTGTGACCACTACTTTGAATGGACTTTGCAGTGTCGGGTTGGTGCTGTTCATCCATCAGGAAACAGTCTCAACTCACACTGGAGAGGTGTTAGTCATTTATTCCACAGTTGGTAACATGAAACTCAAAAATGGAACTGCCGATGGACCCAGCTCATCCCACTTGTGGAAATATATCCTCAGAACTCGAAACATCAGTCAGAAAGAACATATGCTCCCCTGTGTTCATAGCAGCACAATTTACAATAGCTAAGATCTGGAAACAGCCCAGGTGACTAGCTGTGCGTGAGTGGATAAAACAGCTGTGGTACATTTACAGTATGGAGTCTACGCAGCTATAAAAAAGGAAGGATCTCTTACCTTTTGAGACATCATGGAGGGACCTGGAGAGTATTATACTGAGTGAAATAAGCCAGTCAGAGAAAGACAAATATTGCAGGATTTCACTTATATGTGGACTCTAATGAACAATATAACTTGATCAAAAAAATAAGTCCAGAGTCATGCTACATGGAACAACTGGACAGATCTCAGGTAAGGGGGGCAGGCAGAAAAAGATTGATGGAAGAACTTACTTGCATATATTTATAGCTCAAAGCCAAGTATATTAGCATGCAGAAGGTCTGCAGTGGGGTCTGCGCTGGGTGGAGGGGGGATATAGGCAGAGATGAAGGTCGTCTGTAATAATGTCAGTAATATTACAAAAGATGCAGTATTATCTTGAAGGGGAAGGCTATCTATATATATAAAAAGCCTACGCAACCAAAGGACCGATGGTCGTTTGCACACAGACCACCAGGGGGCAGACACTAAATGCAGGAGCTGCCCTCTAGTGGTCAGTGTGCTCACACAGCTAGAGCACCATTCAGCTGACCTACGTGAGCCAGACCCGGGCTCACTGCTGGCGAGCAAGGCTGCAGTGCTGCAAGCCTCTCCTCTCCCACCTCTGCGGCAGCACTACTGAATGGTGGTGGCAGGCGCTGCAGGGCCGGCTGGAATAAGCATGAGTGGCGTAGCACCCAGCCCAGGCTTGGGCTCCTCCTTGCCTACCTGCTGCTTTGCACGCTACGACATCCCTCAGGGGATGTCAGACTGCCGGTTTTGGTCTAATCCCTCAGCCTGGCCTGAGGGATTGGGCCGAATTGGCAGTCTGACATCCCCTGAGGGGTCCTGGATTGTGAGAGGGTGCAGGCCAGGCTGAGGGACCCCACATGTGCATCAATCCATGCACCGGGCTACTAGTATGGAAAGAAAATAAGAATGCTAAGGGCAACATTATGGGAGACATACCAAGACAGGAAGAGAAACGGATTGACAGAGTGACAGATGTCAGAGGAGAGGAGATTGGAAGGAGATTGGGGACTTGATTCAGAATGTGAAGCGATTCACTAGAGAACATATATGCACAGCCCAAGGATACAGACAACAGTGTAATGAGGGCTGAGGGAAGGGGAAATGGTGTGGGTGGCAGTGGGCAAACGGGAGAAATTGGGACATCTGTAACAGTGCCAACAATGAAAATCCTATATAATAAAGAGCTAAAATGCAAATGGTTATCACGCACTCACACCCTTGATCCTTCATGCCAGGGCCAGGTGACCTGGGGCTTGGCCAGGGGACCTGACGCTGTGGCCCCCACCCGGCAGGGCTTGATTGGGGACCTGAGGCTGTGCCCCCCTGCCCAGTGGGGCTTGATGGAGGTGCGGCTGGCCAGGTCCGGGTCTCCCATGATTTCGAGGCACCCGTGGGTGGGCAGGGACTTGACTCTGGGTCCTGCAGCACACCCCAGACTCTGACAGGAGGGATACTTTCATATACATTTTACTAATTTTCTTTCATCTCTGACACTTCTATTTTAGAGAATGGGCAAATAGCAATATTACAATATTTCCTCTAATTAATTCCCTTTTAATGTGCATGAATTTCATGCACCAGGCCACTAGTCCTATATAATAAAAGGCTAATGTGCAAATTGACCGAATGGCAGAACAATCATGTAAATGTACCACAGCTATTTAATCCACTCATCCACTGATGGGCACGTGGCTGCTTCCACATCTTGGCTGTTGTAAATAATGCAACAATGAACATAGTGGATGTGTATAATCTTTCGAATGAGCGTTTCAGGTTTCTTTGATGATATCCCCAGAAGTGGGATCACTGGGTCGAATGGAAGTTCCATTTTTTTTACTTTTTGAGGAACCTCTATACTGCTTTCCACAGAGGTGGCACCGGCTGCATCCCTAGAAGCGGTGCACAAGGGCTCCCTCTTCTCCACATCCAGCACTTGAATTTCCCTGATGCTAAGTGACTTTGTGAATATACAGCAGAGTGAGGGCAGGCTCTGCAATAAATGTTGCTTGGAAAATTGTACAGGTAAATGCAAAACAGAAAGGAAGGAAGGAAGGAAGGAAGGAAGGAAGGAAGGAAGGAAGGAAGGAAAGAAGGAAGGAAGGAAGGAAGGAAGAAAAGTTACCACCCGCATACACCATACAGAAGAGTATACTAAAAATGGATAAAAGACTTCAATGTAAGTCACAAAGCCATAAAATTCCCAGCAGAGTGACAGGTCTTGCGTTGTCACCTTAGAAGCAGGCAAAAAGCAGAAATTCAGAAAAACTAAGTCCATATTCAGCTCCTGTCGACCTGCACTTCCGGAGACTGATTACTTGGGGACCAGGGTGCTTCTGAGGAAGAGGAGGCAGGGGCTGAGCCAAGCGGAGAAGGTCACAGGATGTGGGGGCAGGGTCCTCACACCACCACCCACGCACTGTCCACAAGGTGCTTGCCTCACAGGAAGGCGACACCTTCTTCTCACCCTAAAAATAGCAGGTGCCGAGGGTCTGAGTGGAACCACATCTCCGAACAGCCTACATGTATTTGTTTTTTTATTGAATTTTTTATTTACTGGGGTGACATTGGTTAATAAAATTATACAGGTTTCAGGTATATGATTCTACACTATGTCATCTGTATATGGTATTGTGTGCTTATCACCCTAAGTCTAGTCTATTTCAACAACACTTACCCCATTTTTACCCCCAGCACCCTTCCGTCTGCCAGTCACCATAGTACTGTCTGTGTCCATGAGTCTTTCTTTTATTTCTTTGCTTAATCCATTCACCCTTCTCCATCAGCCCACAACCCCGTCTCCTCTGACAGCTGTCAGTCTGTTCTCTGTATACATGCGTCTCTCTCACTATGTTTTTTTCCATTTATTTTGTTTATTAGATTCCAAAATGAGTGAAATCATAGGGAACTTGTCTTTCTCTGTCTGGCTTATGTCACTTGACATAATGCTCTCTAGGTCCGTCCATGCTGTCGCCAAAGGTAAGAGTTTCTTCTTTGTTTTACAGCTGCACAATATTCCATTGTGTAAATATACCATAGCTTTCATCTGCTAATGGGCACTTGGGCTGTTTCCAGATCATGGCTTTTGTAAATAATGCTGCTGTGATCATAGAGGACATAGATATTTGTGGATTTATTGATGATAGCCATTCTGAAAGGTGTGTGGTTTCAATTGCATCTCTCTGATGATTAGTGATGTTGAGCATCTGTTCATATGTCTATTGGCCATTGGTATGTCCTCTTTGGAGAAGTGTCTACCTAGGTCCTCTGCCCATTTTCTTAAATATATTTTATTAAGTTTTTACAGAGTGGAAAGGAGAGGGATAGAGAGCTAGAATCATCGATGAGAGAGAAACATCGACCAGCCACCTCCTGCATACTCCTCAATGGGGATGTGCCCGCAACCAAGGTACATGCCCTTGACCGGAATCGAACCTGGTCTTTGG